ATTAAACTCATTTAACATAATGTTAATTAATTGATTGATTAATTATGGTTTACTGATTAATTGATTGATTACTCAATTATACTTATACTCTTTATTTGAGAATTAAGTTACACTTAATTAAAATTTTTAATTGATTAAACAGATATAATTAATCAATTAATTGATTAATTGATTGATAAATCATATTTACGCAATAATTTAATTGATAAGTAAATTATGATTATACTATTTAATTGATTTCTAAATTATTAAAGATATTAATTAATTGATTGGTAAATTGTGATTATTTTAATTTTTTAGTTTTTATGTAACTTACTATTATTAAAGTAGATGTATTATTTATTGTGTGCGGATATCAATATTTTTAATATAAATTTAAGAAAATATTTCACATGATGGGAGATCGAGGTTGGATGTATCATCGTTTAGATGATAATGGCTGTTATACTGATAAATTCAAAATTGGTGTGGAGTCTTTCCTGGATTATGCAGTTTCCCAGTCCAATCCAGAGTTTTGTTGTAGAAATCGGATTAAGTGTCCTTGCAGTAAATGTATGAACAAAGAATGGAATCGTCGTGTTACTGTGCAATGTCATTTGACAAAACAGGGTTTTATGAATGGGTATATAGTTTGGCTTGCACACGGAGAGCAGCCACTGCGAAGGCGACAACGTCATCAGTTGGGGGAATCCTCTAGTGCAACTCCATTTGTGATGGAAGAATAATGTAATGATCCAATTAGAGATATGGTTATGGATGCAAATTTACACGATATGGAATATAATATGAATGAACAAGCCAGTGATGAGCCAATCTTTGAGGAGGCAATGGGAGATGCAAAGGAATTTTTTGATCTTCTACAAGCTGCTGACATGCCACTTTATGATGGATGTGATGATGGTGATACAATACTAAAGTGGGTGTCTCATTTTTTGAATGCAAAGACATTCTATAATATGAGTGTGGCTAATTGGGATTATATGTTAAAATGTACTAGAAGATGGATGAAGCCAGAGAATCGGGATAGAATTCCAAAAGATTTTTATAGTGCTAAAAAGATGATGAAGCGCTTCAGTCTGGATTATAAGAAGTATGATGTTTGTGTTAATAATTGCTTCTTGTATTATGGTGAATATGAAAACAAAAACTACATCGCCTGTCCAATATGTGGTGAACCTCGTTATAAACATGGACATGTGCAACAAAATCAACATATACCAAGGAAGTCATTGTGGTATCTCCCGATTACACCTAGACTCAAAAGGTTGTACATGTGTAGAAAAACTGCTGAACACATGATATGGCACTTGAATTGTGGTGGTGTATCTGAAAAGATTATGCATCTTGCCGGTGCTGAGGCATGGAAACACTTCGATCGCACTTACCCCGACTTTGCATCAGATCCAAGGAATGTCAGGCTTGGATTGTGCACAGATGGGTTCACTTCATTTGGGCATACATTCGCCCCGTATTCATGTTAGCCTGTATTTTTGACTGTCTACAACCTACCTTCAGCAATATGTATGAAATCGGAGTCCATCTTTCTTTCTCTGATAATACAAGGTCCTCAAAGTCCTGGAAAAAACATTGATGTTTTGCTACGGCCACTGATTGATGAATTAAAGGAACTTTGGTATAACGGGGTGAAGACATATGATAGTTTTAGGCATGAACATTTCATTATGAGAGCAGCACTTATGTGGACAATTACTGACTTCCCTGGATATGGTATGTTATTTGGATGGAGCACACATGGTAGATTGTCATGTCCGTATTGTCAAGAAAATTCTAAGGCATTCCACCTTCCAAATGGTCGAAAGATTTCATTTTTTGATTGTCACCGACAGTTTTTACCTCTCGACCATCCATTCAGGAGAAATAGGAGTGAATTAAAAAAAGGCCATGTAGAGAATCGGGCTCCACCAGAGAGATTATCGAGTGATGATGTGCATCGACAAATTCAGCAATTGCTTGATATACTATTTGGGAAGCCATCCCAAAGGCAAGTGATTGAAGGATTTGGTCATTGGCATAACTGGGTTAAACGGAGTATCTTTTGGGAGCTTCCTTATTAGAGTACAAACTTAATCCGTCCTAACCTTGATGTAATGCACTATGAGAAAATTTATTTTGATAATATCTTTCACACTGTCATGGATGACCCATTGACGAAGGACAACTTGAAGGCAAGGATGGATATGGAATTGTATTGTAATAGGCCAAGTCTTTGTATACCAGAAACAGGCTCTAATGCGGGTAAAAAACTGAATGCCACTTATGTCTTAAACAGGGAGCAAAGAAAATCTGTGTGCCAGTGGCTAAAGAATCTTAGATTTTCTTATGGTTTTGCATCCAACATCTCTCGATGTGTGATTATGCAAGAGGTGAAAGTTAGTGGGATGAAGAGTCATGATTGTCACATATTCATGCAAAGTCTTCTTCCAATTGCATTCTGTGATTTTCTCCTAAAACAAGTTTGGGAAGCACTTACTGAGATTAGTGAGTTTTTTAGAGCCCTATGTTCTCTAACCATTCGAGTTATAGATATGGAGATTTGGCAAGTGAAGATTGTAGAAACAATATGCCAACTTGAAAGAATCTTCCCTCCTTTTTTTGATTCGATGGAGCATCTAGCAATTCACCTTCCATATGAAGCCAAGGTGGGGGGACCGGTGCAATTTCGTTAGATGTATCCATTTGAGAGGTATTATTCGAATACTAAATTTTGTTTAATATATTAAATTTATATTATATTATATAATATAATATGCCAACTTGAAAGAATCTTCCCTCCTTTTTTTGATTCGATGGAGCATCTAGCAATTCACCTTCCATATGAAGCCAAGGTGGGGGGACCGG